AATGGGATGGATTGCCTGGGAAGGGAGAAGAGGTGAGGTTTAAGTGGAGAGGGTCTGGGGTAATGAACTCAGTGCTGCCTCTACTGGCTGGTGGTTGACTGTATCAGGGCAAACAATGACTTTATGGGCATTTTAATCTCTCGTGCTGTTTGTAACTCATGCCATGGGAAACAGGCCTAATTCCAAGTGGCAACATGAATGTGAATCACTACCAAGTAAAGTATGTTTATTTTCCTCTTGCCCAGCCAGGTGTCTGTCCTCATCATAATTTATTGGAGAGTCACTTTGTGTGTGCATCAGCTAATACCAACTGGTGTATTGTGGTGTTGTCACACTGTTTTCCCTTCTGTGTAGAATGAAAAGCATCTGATAGAGTAATACTTATTTACACCCAAATATTCTCCATTTTCTTATGTGAAGGTCAAACAATGAGGGAATCAATATGACTCTGTAGCTTGGATTTTGATCTTAAATGTGTATGTTTCCTCCCTAGACCAACTGATGGTTTTATTCCTTCCTATTGATTCTGATTAACTTTGCTATTGAATCAGTTAGTAACTTGTTACATCGAAGAATTTTATAGTGAAGTGTAATAATGATAATTCTTTAAAAAGAGTTCCAGATGAGAAAAATATTTTTTTCTCTGTTCTTGCATACCAACCTCTGTTATATGCTGATTATAAAATAGTTTAGTTTTCTGATATAATAAATATAATATTTCTTTGACTCATCAATTAATTTTATAGCCCAACTTTTAAGAAATTCTTTATAGGGCCAGCCCCAGTGGCCTAGGGGTTAAGTCCAGCACGTTCCACTTTGGCAGCCAGGTTCATTCCCCGGCGTGGACCTATGCCACTCATCTGTCAGTGGCCATGCTGTGGTGGTGGCTCACATACAAAAAGAGGAAGATTGGCAATGGATGTTAGCTGCAGGTGGATATTCCTGAGCAAAAAAAAAGTTCTTCATATTTATTATGCTTAAAGCTTATTTAGGCTGATTTAAAATTCTATTATATAGAAAAAAACTAAATAGTTTAAACATGATTTAAGGTCAGATTAAAATTCAAATCAGACTATCTTCTCTGTAATTTGTCCTCTAGCTCCAAGATCCTGAATCGCTACTCAAAAACAGACTTCCTGTTCTTTTTCATTCTCTGGCTACTTTAACCAGGAATTAACTCTTAGCCTGCTCTTGGTAAAAGCTTTCTGATATATCCTATTGTTTCTGAAAATAATGTAAGGGGACACATTTCCCTGATTGTTTAAGTTGTATTCCTAATTAGGTTAAATGTGTATTACCGTCCTGCAGAGATGCCGTCCCCAAATTATTGGTTAATATCTGCACTCTTCACCTATGAAAAGGCCAGTATGTATGCAAAGATACATGATAAGTCAATTTGAAGAGTTTTCTTGTAACACTAAATTTAAATACATTATTATTATTATTTTTAAATTATTTTATTAAGGTTATATTGCCTTATAACAGTGTAAATTTAAGGTGTACATCACTATATGTCAGTTTCTCTGTAGACTACATCGTGTTCACCACCAATAGTCCAGTTTTTGTCCTTCACCATACATATTTGCCCCTTTACCTCTTTCACCCTCCCCCACCCTCTTCCCCTCTGGTAACCACCAACCTGTTCTCCTTATCTATGTGTTTATTTATCTTCCACATATGAGTGAAATCATATAGTATTTGTCTTTCTCGGTCTGATTTTTGTGTGTGTGTGTGTGAGGAAGATTAGCCCTGAGCTAACATCTGTTGCCAATCCTCCTCTTTTTGCCGAGGAAGATTGGCCCTGGGCTAATATCCGTGCCCGTCTTCCTCTACTTTATATGGGATGCCATCACAGCATGGCTCGATAAGCGGTGCATCTGTCTGTGCCCAGGATCTGAACCCATGAACCCTGGGCCGCCGAAGCAGAGCATGTAAAGTTAACTGCTACGCCACCGGGCCAGCCCATTTGATTTATTTTGCTTAGCGTAATACCCTCAAGGTCCATCCATGTTGTCACAAATGGCACAATTTTGTCCTTTTTTATGGCCGAGTAGTATTGCATTGTATATATATACCACATCTTTATCCATTCATCAGTTGATGGGCATTTGGGTTGCTTCCCTGAAAAACATTATCTATTATTTTATCCCATGACCCTTATATTTGGGTGAAATGGAATCCTTGCAGATGTCAGCCTAAGAAGACTCTCCAAATGAACTTAGAGACCTCCTTTTGTCATAAATTGAAAAGTATATCATTCTTTTTTGCCCTGACTGACAGAGATCTCAAAATTAAACTTGGGTGTTAATTGGAGTGACTATCTCATACCTAGAGACGAAAGCATATATAGATTCTCTGCTCTGAATTTTCTTTTGGCTCTGCTTTAATTGTCCTATTTAATAGAGGTTTTAAAATTATAAACTGCTAGAAATAATTTTCAGAGTTCTAAGTATAAATAATAAACATAGTTCTCGACAGCAAAAATATATGTTTAGTTGTCATTTCCTATTATATAAATGCTCTCATATAGGAGTTTAGCAAGTTGGGATGTTACAGAACTTTTTATCCTATATTCTTGTGTTGGGAAGTTCAATTATATAAAGACCATGATAAAGGAAAATATTGAAAAAATAGTCTCTTTGGTTACTATTTCAGTTTAATTATGACACTAAGTATTTTTAATCCAAACATGTCCCAAATATAAAGAAATGTAAAGTAGAATACTTCCTTTTTCCCTTACTCTTTACCTTTTCCCAAAAGATATTCCTTATAGCAGACAGACTGAAAAAGAGGAATTAACCAAATATTCATCAATAGGAGAATTAATAAATTGTGGTTTATTCATATTTTGAATATTATATAGCAGTTTAAAAAAATGAGGCAAATCTATATATTAATACAAATTATCAAATCATATTGATAGACACAAAATGAAGTTGCAAAATACATATACTTTGACACTTAGGCAAAAAATTTAAAATACGTTTTTCAAGGACATATTTATGAATATAAATGCTCAATAAAAATTTAGGAAGGATACATGCCAAATTTATATCTAGTTTCCATCCAGGGTAAGGAATTGTGATATTTATGGCAGTTCAAAGGGACTTTAGTTTTCTTATGGAATTTTTCAAACTTTTTACAAATTTTTAAACTTGTAATTTATACATTTTAAGATAATATTATATTAAAGTGCCAAACATGAATAGGCTTAGTTATACCTCTACCTTTTCAAAACTACTACAGTGTCCGTAGGGTGATTCTGTCTTTTGCTGACACAACGCTAGGACATTGAGAAAGAGGAAACGATGATTTACCAAATCAAAAAAAAAAAAAAAATTCTTTTATTATAAAATATTTCTTTTTATACTGATACCTCTTGTTCTTCTGCTGACCTTCCCTAACCCTTAAGAAATCATGGAAATTTTAAGATAACAGCACAAAGACTGTGGGTTGAAGCAAATCTAAATTGGACCAAAGTCAGCTTGGCAAATTGTCATGCTGTTTTTGTATTTATTTCTTTCAACTTTAACACTCACAATTTATTAAGTGAGACTGTGGATAAAAGAGGAAGCTCAGAATCCTGTTTGGACACCGTTTAGGAAGGAAACCAGGTCTTTATGGGGCACCCCCTTCCTCTTAGCCACTGGCCAGGAAAACCATCTTTCTGTTTAAAACCTATTCAATCTGAGAGAGGTGGGGTGACTTTGGGAAGGAAGGTGACCTCTCCCTTGTAAAGTGGAATGGCTCTGTTTCCCCTCGTGACTTATTCAACTCATTTCCACCACTGTTTATAAGAACACTTGTGCTGAATGCTTGTAGTGACAGCAATAGTCATTTAAAATATGACTCAAATTTCATGGCCTCAAATTTCCTATGTTATTTCAAATCTTGGATCATTACAATCCCAAAAGGAGCTTTTGGTCAGCTCAAGTTTTGCTGATGCCCATTAGGAGTTAACAGCCATGCTTCTTATAAGCCAGAAGTTTAATCAATACATATACTGTGTATACTAAAGGCATTGCTGCTATCAAATCTGAAAAGAATATGCCTTAATGGGAGTCAGTTGTTTCCGAATGACACGGGAGATGTTTTTCTTAGATGCCTTACTTGCTGGGGTCCACAGGTAGATTAGTGTATGGAAGTGGCGGGAGATGCTGGCTGAGAGAGGATGTCAGAGCAACGTGTGCATTTTGAAGGTTTGTCAGCCCTTTGTGCTTTTTGAATGTTTTTGCATTTTGACCTCAAGTTTAGCTAGATTTATTACTGATTTATTTAATTTGCATTGCTCTGTGGCTGTGAAACACTGGTCATTTTATTAAAATTGGTTCCTTTATTCATTTCTTGAAATATTTTAATAACGTGTTTATTTTAGAATAATTTTAGATTTATAGAAAAGTTGCAAAGCTAATACAGAGTTCCCATATAGCCTTCACCTAGTTTCCCGTAATGTTACAACTTAGATTGCCATGATACATTCATCAAAACTGACAAACTGGCATTGTACATTACTGTTAACTAAACTCTGGTCTTAATTTGGATTTCACCAGTTTTTCCATTAATGTCCTTTTTCTGTTCCAGGATCCAACCCAAGGTACAACATTGCATTTAGTCATCTTATCTCCTTAGTCTTCTGATTTATGACAGTTTCCAAGTCTTTCCTTTTTCTCATGACCTTGGCAGTCTTGAGGAGTACTGGCCAGGAATTTTGTAGGATATTCATCATTTTTTAATAAATAAAAATGTATAAACTCTGAGATTTTTGAGGGAAAGCCCCTATAGACTTAGTAATAATTTGTACCACTAATTTTCCATTAATACACCAGTTTCAGCCTGGTTGTTACTTTATCTTCTTATCAGTTACAACAGCACTCTAGAATTAAAAGTTGATTTATGATGGATTTAATATTTGCTTCATCTCTGTGTACATGCTCCGCTTTGCCAGTTCATCCAGTTTAAACCCCACAGAAAGTTTGTATTTTGTCTATTGTTTGTGACAGATTCGAGATGGACAACCAAATTGTTATGTATTGAAGAATAAAGATTTAGAACAAGCTTTTAAAGGAGTTATTTACTTGGAGATGGACCTCATATATAATCCGGTAAGTCTGTCTAGGCCATACCTCCCAGCTTCTCTACACCTAGAGGAAAAGGTGACCAGCCTGGAGAGGCTCAAATCAACGTAAAATGTTTCAGAATTCTTGCAGCTAGAGAGAAAGAGAACTGTGTTTTAAAACAGCCATAAAATCAGTGCTGGACACTCCGGTTTTCAACGGCTATTAATCCTGTTGGGCCAGTAGAATTGATGGTGTGTAATTCTCAATAAATCTAAATGTCAAGGAGAAAAATAAAAGAGAAAATTAGTTTTTTAGCTTTATTCCCAATAATCTTCTTCCCAGGCAATAGTTGGCTGTTGGACAGAGAGATTTTCAAGCCTCTGTCATATTATTTAATTATTATAGTTGATGTCTTGCCATCCAACACTATCAAGACAAGTAGTTACTCAACTGGAAACTACAGTTAAAGGAGAAATTTTTTTTAAGTGTATCTTAAATCTTTAGTTTAATGTAAAATGTGTAAATATACATTTGTTTGCCCATCTTTAGGTATGGGCCTGAAATTTTTTTCTTAGCATGGATTTATTATTTTTAGTTCTACAACATATTCCTTGCATAAATATACCTATGAGATCTATGGTAATTTCTAGTTTCAGTTTCTTTGAAGTAGAGATGTACTTTAAAGATACTGGAAGAACAGTCAATATAGAATTCTTACAGATTGTTTTTCCATATAATCATTACCTCAATAACAGTATCTTTTTAGTGACCTACCTTTATCAAGGATTTCTAGAGCAACATAAATTTCAGCTCTTTTGGTCAGTGCTTATATTTCAATGATTTGTATAATAATTAATTAAAATATAGAATTACAATCGTGTGTAAACTGTCATAGACAGATTTGGGAATTAGCACAATTGATTCTTGCTGGGCATACGATTTGACTCTTGTGAGCAGAGATTCCTAGGCATGCAGGAAAGTGGCCTGTTTAGCTGTGAGCATTCATATGCCATGGTGTGAGCAGTAGATTCTAGAAGGGGTAGGGAGAGCACAGTTTAATCCAGGGAGTGGTATGAATGAATGTAGAGTAATGGAGCTTCGCAGTAATTCTAAGAATGGCTGCCATGTTTTAGCCACCTACAATGTGCCAGGCTCTGACATTATTTCGTTTAATCCTCACAATAAACCTGGTAAATAGGTATCATTAATGCCATTTTGTGATGAGCAAATGGAATTAAACAGGAGAGCTGATTTGCTAATAAATGAATGAGTCAGGAAAGAGATCCAGATCTTTCTGACTCTGCAATTATTCCTGTGCTACACTGCTTCTTGTTTAGTGTCTTTAAGAAACTATTCATAGGGCCGGCCCGTGGCTTAGTGGTTAAGTGCGCGCGCTCCACTGCTGGCGGCCCGGGTTCGATCCCGGGCGCGCACCGATGCACTGCTTCTCCGGCCATGCTGAGGCCGCGTCCCACATACACAGAAACTAGAGGGATGTGCAGCTATGACATACAACTATGTACTGGGGCTTTGGGGGAAAAAAATAAATAAATAAAATTATTAAAAAAAAAAAAGAAACTATTCATAAAATCAGTGGCAGCGGAATTTTCTGTTTTATTCCCAGTAATGCTAGAACTCTGGCACAGTCCCCAGTATGGAGAGCTGTTGTTATTCCTCTTCTTCCCTATTTCTTTCCCTTTCTCTTCAAGGAAATCATATGTGCATGTTGCACCACAGATCACCCTTTATCTCCTATTTTCTATTGGCAAGCACTTTTTATATAGACTCTGCACACAGGTAAAACCTGAGTTATCGGGGGGGAGTCTTAAATAGAAAATATGTTAGTTAAGTGATTTTGCAGTCGTCCACGATGTGGAGGAGAAGGACTTGAATTCTATTCTTTGAGGTTTTCCTTAGTGTGGTGATTTGGACAAACCTCTAAATCCCTCGGAGCCTCAGTTTATTCCCTATAAAATGGGGCTAACATGACTCATCTACTTATGTTTCCGGATCATTGAGAGGAAATGAAATTCTCTGTGGAAGATGTTTTTGTAAGCTGGAACCTGATTTTCACATGCAAGGTATTTTTGGTGAAAGTTGTCCAAAACCTTGATGTGAGACTCTGAATTGAGAACTTCATGAACCCAGTCTCTACAGTGGTTTAAAATACCTCCATTGATTTGCAAAGTGGACACAGCTCTCTGGCATCTCTGGATCCAGTGTGACCCCCCGAGTGACTCTCATGAAATGAGATCCCCAGAAACACATACAGGGCCCAGGGGTATCCACCATTTCCCTGCTCCCTGCCAAAGGCCTTAGGGTCAGAAGGTATTGGTTTCCATGTTCTTCCAGTCATCAAGAAGAAAAAGGGAAGAATGAAGTCCATATAAATGCTACTCTCTTTAACAATGATGTCTTTCTAGATCAAAGCAAGTATTAGGACCTTTACTCCTAGAGAAAAGCGCTTTGTTGAAGATAGCCGCAAGCTGTCCAAAAAGGTAGGTCTGTACAGTAAACTGGCTTGTTGGTACACTCAGCACCCAGCACCCCAAGTACTTATTTATCATTACTTGTTTGTATCTCTCCCTCTCTCTCTTCCCTGCGTATCTCTTCACTCCTTTCTGCTTGTCTCCCCTTCTTTCCCAAAACAAGGACTTCAGTCAGCTCAATAAGAAGGGAAAGACTTAAAACATATCTATTGGATGAAGCAGAGGTGTCAGCGCTTTGTTAATCTCCTGAGTCATTCTATAAACAAACATTCCTAGCGTCAAACCTGCGTAAACGTTCTCCTGAATTTACGTGTCCTGCCTACCTTGCTTTAATCACAGCCATTTTAGTCTCAGCCCTTCTAAGTTCCAAGGGCATATTCTGCCATGGGGTCCATAAGGGAATTAACCCAGTGGATCTTTAGAGACTTTTAGCTTTGGATTCACCCGCAGCTGCTCCTGTCACTTTTGTATTGTCTAAATTGGGGATGTGTTGGCATTTTACCTCGTGTTGAATTCCCTCTCTCTCCCTCTACCTGTTGCCCTTAATTCCTCTCTCATCAGTTCAACAAAAAGTGAAGATCAGGGCGCAGTAGGGGAAGTTTCACATTTTTTTTAACATGACCTTTACCGTTCTTTTCAGAGTCCCTCCCTATCCTCTTAGACACCGTCCAGGATCTCACTCTGTAGCTATTGTCCCTCTTCAGTTGTGTAACAAAGAACAAAGTGTCCCTTTTTAAAGTGTTTATTACTTCCACCACTTCCTGTGTGGGGAGCAGCTGTGCATTACATAAAGCGGTTAAATATAAAGGCAGCTCCTCATCCTTTTGTTTCCCATGAACTTCTGGGCGCACTTGGGAAAGGCCTTAAACGTCTTCTGAAGGGAGCATCCCAAATGTTTAGTTTCTGTCTGCCATAACATTGAGTGTAATATTTATTTTGTGTAATCTGAGTAAATGTCTTATTTTTTTATTATTATTATTGACTTTTGCTCTGTTTACTTGAAAGTTAAAACCTGAGTTGAAGTAGGTGGGGTCGCTGCTTTTCAAACACAGTGAAATGAATCTGCCTACAACTGGGAGAAAAGACATTTCCTTTGCCAAACACACCTCCAGGAGGGTGGGGTGGGCTCCGACAGCACCAGGGCATTTGGGGCTGAGATCTGGGAGTATGTCAGGATCCTCCCCATGTGCCTCTCACCACTGAGTGTCCCCAAATTTTCATAAAGTTGAAACTTGTACTTATGATGCAAATACTTAAAAGCACTTACTGTGTGGCAGGCACTTTTCTAAGCCCTTAATTCTCGCCACAATCTGCAAGGTAAGTACTAATATCAACCCCATTGTATAAGAGAGAGATTAAGAAACCAATCCATGGTGGTGGGAGAACCGGATTCCTTTTCTAGGACTATACTTACAGACTTTTTCTCCAGGACTAGATGAGCTAAAACACTTGCATATTTCTACTATAAATCTATTCATCTCCTTCCACACTAAACAACACAGACACTCATTCCCATTCTCTCTGTCTCTCTCTCAAACATACTCACACACACACACAAATTCACACACACGAAATGCTTGGGTACTGTAGCTTTAACCAGCTTAGTTTTGTGCTGAACCTTATTGAAACAGGCTATCCTCCATCAAAAGAGCTATAAAATGCATTGGATTTTCTTTTCCTCTATGGATGATCGTATTTTAAAAAGAATTTCAGAAGAAGTATTAGGATTTTTCTTTTCTATTATTATTTTAATTGGCAGCTATACAAAATATAATTTAAATGACCACGTTGCCTGATCTAGAGCATATTTGGAGTACTTAAATCTAGTTCACTGTTTTCCATTTTTTTCAATCAGATCTTATCAAGAGATGTAGACCGTGTGAAAAGAATCACCATGGCAATATGGAATACAATACAGTTCCTTAAAAGCTGCTTCCAGTGGGAATCCACACTGAGAAGTGCAATAGCATTTGTGGTAAGCTTCCTTTTTTACGTCCAAATTATTTGCTTCTGAGTCCCGAATCCAAATGCAGATGGGTTTATTTTACTGACGTAGAACAGAATGCTAACACATTCAACATAGCTGAAGTTTACACCTGTAAGGAAACTTTAAAACATAAATGTATACATTCATCTTTCTAAAATATACTACAGCATAGGTGATTATGTAGGAGATGTCTTTTTAAGACCATACGTAAGTCAGATTTACCCTTAAATTGCCTAAATCTTACTCATATACTATCTCTTGGTAAGTTTAAGAGAGCCAATAGTATATATGCGGTGGTTATTATAGCCGTGTTTGTATAATCCCTATGTTGTGTATATGTCTCTCTTTCTATACTAGTAAATACCAGGGTTTTTTGAAAAATCACAGGACTAAATTGCTCTAATTTATGTTTTAAGTAAATCATTCACAAACTTTGATATAAAAAAACATGTATTCATATCAAACCACTTGAGACATAACTGATCACTACACATTATACTCAACACTGCAGAGGAGACCCGCCAATGTATGTGAAATGCACTCTTACTTCTCTCTGATAACATTGGCCCATCCTTATGAGCGTAATAACATCACGTAATCTCAGAGCTGCAAGAGATCTTACCATCACCTAAGTCAACCACTGAGAGTCCAAGAATCTTGTAAGGAGATGAAAGTTGGCACAGCGCCCTCACTTTACATCTCTGTGCATTCTCCTTCATTGGTAAAGGGACTTGTCCTTGGTCAGACTGGTAGTGTCAGACATGGGAGGAGAAACCAAGTCTCTCAACTGCCAATCTTGTACATTTTGTGTTATGCCATTAATTTCTGTACGTGAATGGTCTGAGTCATGATCGTCAGTAAGTCATGATCCTGGTTCTTCTGTCTCCTGTTTTCTGTTGTCAGTGCTCTCTCCTACCTCACAGCCTCATTAAAAAAAAAAAAAAAAATTAGCTCAAGGTGTCAGTGGGTGCAAAGTCACTCCTACCTTTATTATGCAAGCAAGTATATCAGCTCCATAAGAGGCTTTTTCTTTGCCAGGGGAGAACATTTTATTTGGTCTAGTTAATTTTAGTTTTTCATTGCTTCAGGATGTAGAGGACCTGTGAAGGCTGCAGCCTTGATCTGTAATATATTTTTTCTTTGGTCTGAAGTTGCCAAAACAATTGGCCTTAACCAAGACATGAAGGAGGATTTCATTAATCCATATCTGTTTTTGTCTTGGCATTTATTCATCCACTCCCCTTTCTCATGTTCTCCTCAGCTTGGGGGCTTCATGTGTTGACTTCCTCTTCAGTCTCCCCACCTCCACTTCCCACCTGAATTCTCTTTAAAAACTTTCCATGAAATGTTCTATGATTCTGGGCAGAAGAAGAAAGTCAACACGATTGGTGGCTTCTTCCAGTCAGCACCCCAGCCAGCCCCTTCAAGGAGGAGAGGATTTCCTTTTTCTTGAGCTTAGTTTCTGGCACTGTGATTTTTAGAAAAACAGAGATCTGTTGCACTGGATTATGTAGGGGAATGACAGAAATGATTAATGGGCCGCCGGCTTGATCTGAAGAAAGATTAGAACAAATGAATAGAAATAAGTTGTCTAATAGAGGGGACTTCTAAACGGGAAGGAAGCCTTGGCAGTGGGGTCACATCTGCACTGCCTGTGCCCTGAGTATGTCCTCTCTGTGGGGGCCACACCGCAGAGCCCTCTGTCAGACTGGCGGACGCAGGCTGCCATATCGTCCTTTCAAATCTCTAAGGCCCACAGAATGGAAGATAAATGTGATGCTCTTACTGCTGGTTCGCTGAAGTGTGATTTTGCAAGGATACGTGGGTTTATGAGACTGTGGAAGCCCCACTGTGTATTTGTTGGGGGACATTTTCCTTTGGACATCTTTGAAAAAAGGCAGAGTCAATTAGGAAGGATACATGCATAAACTCTCTCTCTGGGTTTTCCTGAAGGTTCTGGAATAAAGAGTGCTCACTTAAACACATTAAGTTTTCAGTTTTAATTTGAGACTCTATGTGTGAAATTTTATCTCACATTCACTTTGATCAGCCATGGTGGATCTCAGAGATACTGCAGATACAGAGAGGTGGGTGTCTCCCCTCCCTAAGCTGATGAAGTATAATTTTATTAGAGAATATTTTTGTTACTCTATCATGAAGTTCATTCTAAAGCTATTTCTGCTCTTAAAGCAAGAACATATAAAGAAAATGCAGTTTTAGGATAAAATAAAAAATATATTTGTCTCCCTTATTTTGTTTAAATAAGATTATAGGTAGCCAAGCCTTCATTTTTTTTGAACACATTTTGTTTTCATGGATGTTGCCTACAGACTTACATTAGCTGCTTGTAGAGTACTGATAGGGGATCCACACCTGGAGGCTGCCCTTGGCTGTAGTGCTGTGCCCCTGACTCTCTGAGACTCCATTGAGGGTTGTCTTTCTGCAAAGTGTTGGATCCTCAGGTTCCCTGGGCCAGAGAGAGAGAGGAAGGGAGGCTGTGACGCTGAAGCCTGGCTCCTTCTCTTCCTTGCTCCACTATCGAGAGTGCTGTATTTCTCACTGGTGAGGTGTTCTCCTGTGATCTGCTGAGGACAGAATGCTGCTCCTGGTCCTTATTCATCAGTGTTAGGATTTGTTCATGCTTCATCCGCTTAACTTGCCATGATGGGGGCAGGACAGTTTCGTGGTGGCCTGAAGCAAGGTCTTAAGTCAAGGATTTATTAAACAATGGGACTACATTTGAAGGCCTTTCTATTTTAGAAATTAGTGTAAGTGATATTTGAGAGTTCACTGCCTGGGTGTGAAAAGAACCATTTTGGCTGAACCAGTCCCCAGTGGGGCTTTTCCTTCCCCTAGAGGTACAGAAAGTGACACTAGCACACAAGCTAAGGGCAGAACTATAGGAACTTTTTTCTCACTTCTGTTTTGTCAGATAATATAAAATAGCCTGTTAACATCATGTTAATATCTCTATTTTCAGATGATACAAAGCATGAACGTTATAGGATCATGTTTAGTGTATTCTGGCTGTTAATTTTAAGACTTTATGAAAGCAAACCATACATTTTCTAAGGATTCCTATGGATGTGTATATGAATATATCATGTCTTGTTGAAAGCAGGAGTTAAAGAAAAGCTGCCTAAGATCTAGGTCCATGTGGTGTCCGGTCAGAAGTGGGTACAGTTTTTCCTTTTTTCACTCAAAAAGTCATATTCTCAATTTTCCCACTTGAAAGACAAATTACTATGAGATGACAATTTATTGACAGAGGCCAAATGTGACTAAAATATCATGCCTAGAAGAAGCCTTATATTATATTATGTTTCCCTCTGAATGGATTTGTAAATATACGTGCTATTTTATAGACATGCACGTGGTCATTCCCAGATGCAGACCTTGAACTCCAGGAATAATTAATAGCTCATGTTGTTCTAGCGCTTACTGTGTCAGGCACTGTCCTAGGCATTTTACAAATATTAACTCATTTAGTTCTCACAGCAACCTGCTGATTTAGGTGCCAGTTATTACCTTCTTTTTACAAATGAGAAAAATGAGTCCATAGAGGTTAAATAAAGTGTCAGAACTCATATGGTTTTAAGAGACACAGCTGGGATTTAAACCCCGACCATCAGGCTTTAGAGTCCATGTGTTTAACCACCGGACATATGGCCCCTTATTGATGCCCAGGATGTAGGATTATGGTCCTTGTATTTAGATAGACGATAATGACTCTGGGGACAACCATATTGGTCATTTCAGATATGTATTTAGATGTTACGAATTGGAGTTAAGCCTGTTTCAAGATGCCTTAGTGGAAAGAAACCCTCGTTATATGGGTGGGAATAATTCTCAGTCACAGTTATCATATTTGCAAGAGATGGAGCCAAAATTCAAGAAGCAAAAAAGGTAGAAATGTCTGTAATCTCTTTGGGGAAGAGCCCGGACCCTGGGAATCACATGCATATAATATCTTTGGAATCCAGCTTGATGGTCTGGAAAACCTCAGTGCCTGGCTCCAGGCTGAACCACAAATTGGAGTCTGAGTTATTTTTTCCCCACTTTTGGGAGAAGCTCTTAGATGATGTAGAAGGGGTTTCAAGGGGACTGTGAAGGCTGAAAACAACTAAATGGAGGGGCCATGGAAGGAATCTATACTTTTCATATTCTCTTCAAGAATTCCAGGTTGTCCAAAATAAGAGAGAGGAGTAGAGAAGAATAACTATCTACGTTAATACATTCCTTCAAAATGTCTTGAAACAGTAGCTGTCAGAGAGATAGGCCCATATTTCTAGTGTATGTGGGGGGCTGCTCTATTGTATATCCCCGTGTCTCAGTGCAAATGCATTATTTGGTGATAGTTAAGATGAATTGAATTTGTTCTCAAAAGATAATTTCACATTGTGACATTTGTATTGTAGAACCAATCATATGTATGGATTTTTTTGTTTGTTTTGTTTTTCGTTTGGGTACTTATATTTTACAAACCCCAATATTGTCTTTAAAAAAAACCTAGGGTTATTTTATGGTATAAATGCATTAATTTTTTCATATGACACAAAAGCATTTACTTGACAGGTGGCATCATCAGAAGATTATTTTAAATAGCAAAGGTCTCCTCATGCTGTAAAAAAGGATTGCATTTATGTAGTTTCATTTTTCCACCAATCTTCCAGGCACACACCTCTATTGCATCAAGGGAGACAAGTCTGTGGGGCATTGATGGATTCCTTATTTTATTAAATTTTTACTTGGACGTTTGATGCTAAAAAGTAATCTAAATCTACCATATATCACTGGGTATCTTCATAAAGCTATGATTTTAACATCTGTGACTTTTTTCCTGAATTTTTTGAGTATAGGAACAGGAAGACTTTATTCTTCAAGGTTGACAGGGCCTGCAATATGATACATAATTTAAGGCATCAATCAACCCCGCCCCCAATAAGGTTAAAAATAACAATTCTCCACTGTTTTAATGATATCCCACA